GAGGTTTGAGCCTGTGCCTCCTGCCAAGGCTTCTGGGTCTTACCAGCGGCCCTTTCTTGTTACCTTTCCCATGGACTCTTACTTTTCTTTAAGGGCGGAGGGCTTGGAGGACGGCTCTGCCCCGGGGCCTCTGTTGTTGGTTCCCGGGGCTGTGGGGGTTGCCTGCTAGCAGTTCTGGGGCGGTTTTGCCCCTTCCGGGGTTTTTCTGCTGTTGGGCGGCGTTTTTCGCCCTTCCAGTCTGCTAGCTTCCCACATTTGCTGGCGTGTTTTTGTGTATTTAGCGTCGGTCACAGCCCCTGCTGGTGGCCATTTTCGTCTGCCGGTTTCACGGCGTGGCCACCAGGGCGGCGTTGCGGTTTGTTTACATGCGTCTGGGTGTGCGAGCGAGCGTCTCTGGTGAGTTTAAAAAAAAAAAAATTTCAGGGTTTTTGTTCTCCTGTTGTCGTTTCTTTGTTTTTCTGGTGTTTTCTTGCCGTTGCCTGTTCCTCTGGGAACGTTTGGGTGTTGATTTTGGGTCTGAGCCTATGGGTTTAGGCTCAGTGCCCCTGGCTGGTATGCTTGCTCCCACACCTTGCCCCTCGGTTTTCGGTCTGTTGGGACCGTTTTCCCAGGGCGTTCTGCTGGGGGCTGTGCTTTGCCTTTCAGTGGTGTTCTCCGCCGGCAAATGTTGTGGTTTGGGCTCCCCCTGGTTCGATTCTGGGTTCCTTTGGGTTCCTTGGTTTCGTTCTGGAGGTTTCTTCCTCTTGGGCCCCCTTTTGTGGGTTCAGGGGACTTTGTTTCCTCGTGTGACCCGGTTCTGCCTTTTGGGGTTCCGGGGTCTTCCTGGCTTGCAGACTGAGCTTTTTGGGTCTTGGCACATGTTGTGGTTGTGCTGGGACTTTGTGGTTTTGCTGTCGAGGTGGGCCTTTTGATGCAGTTTTGATGCAGTTTTGTGTCCTTCTTTGGGGGTTGAGCCTGGCCCTTGGCCTGCCTCTCAACCGTCCAGTGCTCTCTGCCACTAGTCGGCGGCTTGTGCTTTTCCAATATATGTCCTCACCTAGTTGTGCTTGTGGGGGTTGAGCTCTGGCTCCTTGGTCCTGCCTCTCAACCGTCCATCAACAGGTGTATAGGTTCCTGTGCCTCTTGGGCTCTGTCATGTCTACATGTGACATTGTATGGGGGTCAGCCTCGTTACTTGTGTGAGGAGTCGCCACATTACTTCCTAGTGCTTTCCCGTTCCCATTCTGACACTAAAAAAAAAAAAAAAAAAAATCTATCTGTGGCTCTTTTGGGTACTCAGTTTCCACCTGTGTCCCCTATTGCGTGTGCCCCTTGTGTTTCATAGCCTGTCCTTATCAACCCTGTCGATTCCCTTGGGTATCTTGAATGTGGTGATCAGGTCTCCCCTCACTTCATCTTCCAGCGAAGTGTGGTTTCATTCCCGTGGTCTCTCCTCATGACTTCGGTAGTGTACTTTTTCTTTCGGAAGGGGTTCTGTTCCCTTCTCTGTTGACTGGGCGCTGGGGGAGCAGCTTGCTCTGTTGCCTCTCGCTTGGTCCCGCTGTTGGTGGGCGCTTTGGGTTGTCTTCCGGCCTCTGCTGGCGTCGGAGGACGGCTTCTCCCCCTTGGGGGGGGGTTCAGAGCTGGCGGGGTGGGCTTCTTTCCCTGCGCTTCGTCATTTCCTCTTCGTGGGTGCGTGGGGCGTGGTCGATCCGCCCCATCCTTCTGGGCTTCCCGTCTGCTCTTTGCAGTCATGAGCTTTTCCCGTCTGCAGTTCTTCTGGACTACTTCAGTCTGCGCCCTGGATCCTCTGCCCTCCTCGGAGGACTGTTGTCTCCTGTTCGGATTCTGTTAGGGCCGGGTGCATGGATGGTGGCCCTGGACCTCCAGGTCACTTCTTGGCACGTTCCTCTCCAGTTTTTCTGGGGCTAGCACGGTTGGTAATTACCTATGTGTAATTACCTAAGTGTAGTTACAGGATGAGAGCTACTCTCGTGGTGTCCCCATCTTCCCAGCACTCTGTCATATACTGCTTTGATTATAATTGTCATATTGTCATATAATGATTGTCATATGTCATAATATGTCTTAATATGATTGTCATATAATGCTTTGGTGGTGGGGCTTCAGGTTTGCTGTTTTTATTGCCTTCCCGTTTTTGTAAAGGGCACTTTGTATACTCTTTGCATCTTTACCGGATCTTAGTGCCCTGTCTGCGTCTGAGATTCGGTGTCTGGCCTACCTCGACGACTGGCTGGAGTGGGCTCCCAGTCAGTCCGCTTGTCTGCTCGCCAGGGGATGGTTCTTTCCAGATCGCTGGGTTTGGTTTCCTGGTGATCTGGAGGTTTTTCCATCTGTTTCCGTCCCGGGTTCGGACCTGGGCCTTGTTTCAGGCTCTTGGGCCCCTCATTGTCTTCCCGCCTTTGGCTGTTCAGGAGGGGGTCCCGGGTTGCTCAGCGGTTGCTTGGGCGGTTGTGCGGGAGTTTGCACTTCGGCGTGCTTGTCTGCCCGCGGAGTCGGGTTTGGCTACGGCGTCGGTTGGTTCCTACAGAGACTCCCCTTCCGCCTCTTGCATTCCTTGGGTTCCTCTGGGGATCTGGTGTTGGTGCTGCGTCACCAGCTTCCTCTTTGGGGTTTTCGGGGTTCCGTGCCTTGGCACCTCCCCGTGCCTTCGCTCGATGTGTTCACGGACGGGTCGTCTCTCAGCTGGGGCTTTGTGACCAGTGCTCACCAGGTCGGCCGTGGTTAATGGAGTCTGTCTGTCCGTCGGGCTCACAGCCCAGTTCAGGTGTTCATGGCTGTCTGGTTTGCGCTTCGGAGGGTTTGGGTCACTAGGTACTCTACCATTCAGCTCTGTTTGGACTGTTCTCTGGTGGTTCTTGCCGGAACCACTGGGGGTTTGGTTAACCGTGTGGTTCGTGTCCGGGGTGTGTCCTGCGTCCTGGTGGACAGCTGTCTCGGTTCATTCCTCTTCGTGGGTTGGCCAGTCGTCGCCAATTCGTTTTGTTGGCTCTGTTGGGCTTATGGACTCCTGGCCATGGACGTCTTCGGGTCGGCGTGGTCTAGGCGTCGCCCGTTTTGTGGTGCCCTTCCCACCTGCGAGGACTTCACGGTGGAGGCTTTCGGCAGGCCTGGTCGAGGTGGGGGGGTAACTGTACCTCTTCTCCCGGTCCAGCTGTTGCTTCGGGTTCTGGCTCGGTTGCAGCCCATTCCCACGAGAACAGTCCTTCTAGTTCCATGGTGGCCGGCCCGGCCTTCTTTTCAGACGCTGCTTGATAGGTGTCCGTACCCGGGGCGTTTTTTCCTGAGGCTTCGCCTCTTTCAGCAGGCCGAATCGGTCCGTTCCGTGACTGGTTCGGCCTTCTCCTTGGCTCTTCGCATCTGGTATTTTGACGCAGGTATCACCATCTCTATGGTGTTCAGGTGGCTTTGTTGACGGTGTCCCACCTGCGAGCTTCGTCTTGGAGACAGTATGACGTTTATTACGTTTTCTCGCGTTTTGTTTCCCCTCCGGCCTGCTCATGAGTCGCCTGAGCCATCCTGGTCCTTGTTCAGGGTGCCTTCTTATCTTCCCCTCAGTTTGTGGTAGCCCCTTCGGTTTCAGTTTCCTCCTCTTTGGTACTGGTGGTAGCTTTATTGGTGTGCAGCCTTTCTCTGTCCTGGCGACGGTCGAGACGGCTGCTTTCCGGAGGGGTTCTTGGGGTATTGGTACTTGTTTGGTTTGGCCGGGGGGTGCGTCCTGTGTTGTCCGGTTGTGCTTTTTGCTGTTGCCGGCGTACCGTGCCTGGGGATGCGCTGTGGTTGATCCGGTTCCTTCGTTCCCTGTTTTCAGGGCTCGGGTCTCCCAGGTCGTCCGCAGTGTATTCCTTCTTCAAGCCTGCAGTCTGTCTTTGCGCCCGTGCTGTTCAGACGTTTGCAGCTTTTGCTGCTGTGTTGGTGACGTCTCGGGCTCATTTCGGGCACAGGGATTTGTGGGTCGCACAGGTTTTTGGCCGCCCATCCATATGTGCGTCTGTTCTTGGGCGTTCTTGTTGCCTTGGGTCGCAGGTTTGCGACCGGTTGTCTTGGCTTTGCGTTGCAGAGTTTGTGGCGGCCGCCTCCCGGGTTAGCCCTTTCTTTTCCTTCCCTTTGGGTATGAAGCTCCAGGGAGCCGTAGGGGCTCCCCACAGAAAACCAGCGTTGAATGTAATGAAACGCCATTTTCTGGGTGAGCCCCGGAGGCTCCCTGGAAACCCTCCCTCCCACCGGTCGGCGGTTTTTTCGCGTTGGTTGAAGCTTAGCTTCCGAACTGGAGCTTGGCAGCGGGCGCGGTAGGTCCGGGGCTCCCCCCTCCCCCTCCCGGGGTGGGGAGGGCTGCGCGGACGATCGGCGCGGCAGTAAAGTGTGATGTTTGCTTGTTTGCTAGTTTCCTTGGGATTGTAGGGAGTTTTCTACCTCTCTGTTCGGTTTTTGTTGTAGTTTCTTACCATGTGGGGTTTGTTTTGTTACGCCTACCTTTCTGGGTGCCTAACCCCGGTCGATGGCAGATAAGGAAAACCCCCAACCATATGGGGTTTTCCAGGGCCATTGCTCCCTGAAACCTCTCTGAAGGGGCCAGGTTCTGGCGCTGGTGCCTGGTAGGTCTGAACTCCTTAGCTAATGTCCCGGTCTAACATAACATACATTAGCCCGATAAGCTCCAGGGAGCCTCCGGGGCTCACCCAGAAAATGGCGTTTCATTACATTCAACGCTGGTTTTTTGCAACTCTGATAATTTATTAAGGTATTATGCAAGATGGATTTGTATTTTAAACTTTTTAATCAATATTTCAAAGGCTGTAATGATGAGCCAATATTGCAGGCAAAAATATTCCAATTGCTAGATTTTTAAACTAGATAAGTTTTGTATATACAACTGTACTAAATAAGAAACTAGTTGGGATTCATGTTATAGTAAAAATTAACTTAAGCTAAATAAAAAAAAAATAATGCCTCTAGTTCAGTGAAGATTTGAACTCTGGAACAATATATTGCCCATTTCAGTATTATAACCTGGTTTAGTGTTTCGTTTCAAAAGATGCAATTTTAGTCTTATAAACTATTTGCAGGATTGGAGGCTGCATTAGGTGAAAGCAAGGTAGATGCTATCATCAATGTTGCTGGTGGTTGGGCTGGTGGCAATGCTAGCAGTAAGGGTAAGTAACGATTAATCTTATTCAAATATTCAATACCATGTGCAGACGAGGAGTCACAATAATGTGGCTAAAATATGTTGACCAAACCACACACTAGAAAGTGAAGAGACGACAACATTTCGGTCTGTCCTGGACCATTCTCAAGTCGATTGTGAATGACGACGCAAAACGTCGTTGTCCCTTAACTTTTTAGTGTGTGGTTTGGTCAACATTCAATACCATGGTTGTTTGTACATCTTGTATCATCATTTGAAGCACAAACCATGTTGTTGCTTGTTTTGGGGAAACCCGTGGTGGCTCCCTGAAGCTGTCTTGCTGAAATTGCTCCATGTAAATGGGTCACGTCAGATATGGGAGTATCTCTTTGGCTTGCCAAGGACCCAAGTCAAATTGTGGCCCCTCTCACAGAGGCACAGAAAGCAAGGGACAAACCACTGCCCCACTGGGAAAGCATCTAGAATGTCGGCAAAGCTTGGACAACTGGTAGGTTCACAAAGACAGTAGCATTCAAGCTGCTAAACAACTCCACAAACAATTCGCACAGAACAAAAGCAACATTAAAAATTAGCGCAAAACTCATAGTACCAAATACCAACAACAGGCGGCCCGGTTTCAACATATAGCCATCTTCCTTGGTCAGTTTTTTCACTGATGTCCACATGGACAGTAGTGTTCTGGTCTTTCAGATGTGGCAAGCCCCTTTGCTTCAAGCGAAGTGCCAACCATCCTTGAATTGTTCCTGTGGGGGCACTGTTCAATATTTTAGTATTTGCCTTCATGTGCGAGTTTTCTTTCCAGCGTGTTGTGCTTTAGGCTGCATGCACTTTTTTTTCACAGGATTCCCACTAGCCCTGTCCCTGCATTGACATATATCCCTTCTGGTGTGTTCAGGAGTTTGCCCCTGAGAGGTCAGACCACTGAGGTGGATAGCCTCTTATTAGGTGATATTCAAAAAAATGTTTTACTTCAATGTTTGGGTCCCTAAGCTGGGGGTGTTCTGTTGGGTGTGCTAGTTACCTTGCGGTGGTTACCGGGTTCAAGGTCCCTGCGGCCCAGTGTCTGACCAGGCCTCCTGATGGCTTGTGGGGCTCGTAGGTCTTGTTTATTTATAAGACACCATGGGGGGGGGGGCAATTGGAACTTAGCTGTTTTTGCTGTGCTTGGCATCTGTCTTTTTGCGAGTGGCCTCTGTGCTTGGGGGCACTGCTTGGTTATTTGCCTTCAGGTCTTGGTAATCCCCTTGAATCTTTGGCATGGTTGGTTCAGCCCGTCGAGCTTGCACTTGCCATGTGGGAGTTTAAAGGTTGCTTATCATCTTTGCTACCAGATGATCATTCTTTCTGCTTCACTCATGCTGCCTGTTAGGTCAATGTTGGACCCTGTGTGGCTTGTTCCTTTTGGATCTCTCTCTGCTTTGACTGATTCAGCTTTCAATGTAGAAGCTTTTCAGGTAGCTGCGGCTTTGCAAGGTAGGTTTTCTAAGGTTAGGCGTTCATGGAATTGTGATGGGTTGGATGCCCCAGAGTTGGCCCTATGGTGTTTTGGGACCCAGAATTGGAGGTGTTGGTGTCCTCCACTTGGATAAGTCTGTGCCACTGCTGCCTTCCCCTATTTCATGACCCCCACCCTCCTCTTTTCCCAAGGTTCCGGCTCTGAAACATCCAAAGGTTTCAGAGTTGGGGCTGTATTTAGCTAGGAGTTATGCTCGACCTTCTCTGGAGGTAGCCCCCATTGACATCAATAGTGAAGGCAGTTGAGCCTTCTGTTCCTGCCAGGGGTTTCTGGGCAATTATCTTCAAAACTGCCTCCTCACTCTGAGCCTTCTTCTTGGAAGGACACGTTTCTGTGCCAGTTATCGAGAGAGGACTACGGCTCTGCCCTGGAGTCTTCATGGCATACTTCTGGGGCTGGGCTGAGGGTGGAGCCCGAGGAGTGTCCATGGGTGTCCTTGAATCCTTCCAGGACCTTGGTTCCCCTCTCAAGAGGATCTTTTGCTTTAGGGATGATAACTTCTTATAACTTAATATTATGAAACGGTATGATCATTTGGTTGCTTTCCTTTGGGTTTGGTGCCTCAAAAGAGTCAGATTTCCAGAGGTTGTCTTCCCTCATTTCCTCTTCGGTGGCTCGCATTGGTATTGCTTCAGTACCACATGTGGAATTTGGACCGCTTTATGTTGATGGACCCAGCTTCTTGTAGCAACTATATTAAGTAGTAATATACTTACGTCGTATACTTACGTAGTAGTAATAGACCCACGTCCCGTGTGCCCATTGTGTGTGTGGGTGCTTACTTACTGTTCTTCCCGGTTCACGGGTGATAGTGTCCCGGGTGGTCAGCCGTGTTCTTGCGGCTAAGCTGCCTGTGTTATTCCCTCATGCCTGTGGCGTTCGTGGCTTCGCTGCTCTCGCTGCTGTCTGGGCGTCGTGGCCTTGCGGTCTTTCGGGCATGGATTTTTGGTGTTCGTGCAGGGGCCTTGCTGCTCGTTCTTCTCGTGTTGTGTTGTTCCTGGGACTTTTCGGGGCTGTGGCGCCTTGGGTTGGCGTTTGCTGCCGGTTGTCTCGCCTCCTTGGGGGGTGCGTGGTGTCCGCCTCCCGGTTCTGTCCCTTTGACCTTCCTCTGTGGGTAGTTAGCTCCGGGGAGCCAACGGGGCTCCCCCCAGAAAACCAGCGTTGAATGTAATGAAACGCCATTTTCTGGGTGAGACCCGGAGGCTCCCCGGCAACCCTCCCTCCCTCCGGTCAGCGGTTTTTCTCGTGTTTTGACATCCAGCCTCAGAACTGATGGGTGGATAGCCGGCGTGGGAGGTCTGGGGCTCCCCCTTCCCCCTCCCGGGGAGGGGGGAGCTGCGCAGACAGCGGCGCAGTGACGTATGTCGTCATACTAGTTTCCTTGTTTTCTGTTGAAGAGTTCTATCCACTAGTTCGGCTTTAGGTAGCAATTTTCACCAGAATAGGGGTTTGTTTTGGAATGCTTACCTTTCTGGATGCTTGACCCGGTCGATGGCAGACATAGAATGCTTCCAACCACACGGGGGTTTCTATAGGCCATTGCTCCCCTTGCCTCTCTGAGGGGGCCAGGTTCTGGCCGTGGTCCCCGGTAGGCCCTAGAACTCCATACACATGACTGATGCCAAAGTCTGACATTAGCATATCAGCCGGTAAAGCTCCGGGGAGCCTCCGGGTCTCGCCCAGAAAATAGTGTTTCATTACATTCAACGCTGGTTTTTTGTTTATTATTTTGTGTTAGTTAATTTACTATACAGTATTGCAATGGGCCATTTTCCTTAAAATTGTGAATTAGTACTTAATTATGAATATGCTGCTTTTCATATTATGTATAATTTTTTTTCAAGATTTTCTGAAGAACTGCGAATTAATGTGGTCCCAGAGTGTGTGGTCATCTACCATCACAGCCCAGGCTGCTTCACGCTTTCTCAAAGAAGGGGGATTGGTGTCTCTCCCTGGTGCACAACCTGCAATCAATGGAACGCCAGGTAAGGATAAACTTGATAGGATGTAGTGACCAGGATCGTGAATCAGTGACATTACAATATTTTCACCCTACCATAGCCAAAATAAGCTACATAATTATTATTATTATTATTATTATTATTGTTATTTATATTTTTTATTTTTTTACCATGATCAGGGAACACATTTTAAAAATATTTGAAAGGTTATTCTGGAGTGTGTGAGTATAGTATGGAAGACTAACCGGGTGTGTAGTGGTGATAACTTGGATGTTTGGAAGACCTATGGATGGTGACTGGATGGGTCCAGTGTGAATATTGGGAAGAGTAGTTGAGTAACAGTAGTTGAATTTGACATAGAATTTATTATAACTTTAAAGTAACTAGAGTATATGATGATTAAATTACAAAACATGACTGGGGCTTTAATCATCATCCGTATATTCACACATATGCAGCGGTTGTGTAGTGCCCATATCTTTAGAAGCACATCAACAAACTGGAAAAGGTGCAAAGAGATGCTACTAAGTGGCTCCCAGAACTGAAGGGCAAGAGCTACGAGGAGAGGTTAGAGGCATTAAATATGCCAAAACTAGAAGACAGAAGAAAAAGAGGTGATATGATCACTACATACAAAATAGTAACAGGAATTGATAAAATCAATAGGGAAGATTTCCTGAGACCTGGAACTTTAAGAACAAGAGGTCATAGATGTAAACTAGCTAAACACAGATGCCGAAGAAATATAAGAAAATTCACTTTCGCAAACAGAGTGGTAAACGGTTGGAGCAAGTTAGATGAGAAGGTGGTGGAGGCCAAGACCGTCAGTAGTTTCAAAGCGTTATATGACAAAGAGGGCTGGGAAGACGGGACACCACGAGCATAGCTCTCATCCTGTAACTACACTTAGGTAATTACATGTACAGTTCAACCAGCTGGTACATCTCCTGAGACTTAGGTGTGGAAATATAATATAAATATAATAGTAACACCTTGGCTTATGAATGCCCCTATTTACGAACTTTTCGGGTTACGAGCCCAATTTTTTCGTAAAATCCAAATCAGGTTACGAGCTTTGCCTCGGAAAACGAAGGTTGTTGATACGCGTATGGCTGACCTAGTGCATGGTGGCACAGCAATCGCCACACAGTTTACCAGTGCCTCTCACCTAGTGACAATTGCATCTGAATTATTTGTAAAGATTTACTTTTTTGTTCAGATTTTTGGGTATTTGAACATAAGTTATTATATATCTCGCCATGGGTCCCAAAAAAGCCAGTGGTAAGGTTCGAGCCAAAAAAATCACATGTGAGAATGACCATTTTTAAAACGAGATCATTCGTAAACATGAAAATGGTATAAGGGTTGTTGATGTAGAGTAGAGGATGTCCCTTCCTCATTTATTAAGAAAATCTGTGCATTATTTGAAGAAGTGCAAAGTTTTGCTGAAAAGTGTCTCCCAAATCAAGCTGTAGCAGACCATTGTGTTAACCTTTTTAATAACAATGTGATGTCTCACTTCAGACAAGTGTTACAAGGAAGGAAAAAACAAGTGTCGCTAGACAGGTTTTTAGTGAGAAAAACAAGCAGTGAGCCACAAGCAGGTCATAGTGGTATACAGGCAAAATGTGCCAGAGTGTGTACCCCAGAGAAGTCATCACTGCCCGATGTTATAATGGAAGGGGACTCCCCTTGCAAACAGTATCACCTCTCCTCCTCCTCCCTCCTCTCTGTCTTCTATACGCCAACAAGAGTCATCAGAAAAGGTAAGTAATAACTTGTACATACTTTAGTACTGAATATTTGGGTGAATTGTATTCACTTTTATATTAAGTATAAAACTAAGGTTGTATTGTTGTTGGGTTATTAACACAAAGGAAACTTTTTGTTTGTATTTTAATATGCGAGACATGCAGAGACCAAGGATACTTCATGTTGTTCATTTGAATCATAACCATGTAGTAATTAATAACACTTGCCTGTCTCTTGCTAATAGTGTATGTGTTTCAGGCATGATTGGATATGGTATGGCCAAGGCTGCTGTGCATCAGCTAACAAAGAGTCTTGGTGAGGAAAAGTCTGGACTACCACAGGGGGCCACAGCAGTTGCCTTGCTTCCAGTCACCTTGGATACACCTATGAATAGGAAGTGGATGTCCAGTGCAGACTTCTCCACTTGGACCTCACTTGAGTTTGTTGCCGAGTAAGTGAATGCTTTCTGATGTGTTATAATTTATAATTCATTAATCGTGGTAGCATTCTTTAAGTTAAGGATTTATTTTAATGTAAGATAACATATATGGCAGTGCATGGAAGATTATTTTGATTAGACCATGTGGTTCCCTTGGTGTCAGCTTTAGAACCTTTCTATTCAATTGTTGGCGGGTTGCTTATCTATACTAATTTTCAATATAAATACCCTGATGCCAGAACCAATTTTTTTTTTTTTTTTTTTTTTGAGATATATACAAGAGTTGTTACATTCTTGTACAGCCACTAGTACGCGTAGCGTTTCGGGCAAGTCCTTAATCCTATGGTCCCTGGAATACGATCCCCTGCCGCGAAATATCGTTTTTTCATCCAAGTACACATTTTACTGTTGCGTTAAACAGAGGCTACAGTTAAGGAATTGCGCCCAGTAAATCCTCCCCGGCCAGGATACGAACCCATGACATAGCGCTCGCGGAACGCCAGGCGAGTGTCTTACCACTACACCACGGAGACTGCTCAGAATTTAGAATTTAGTTTTGATCTTTTCAGTACACCCAGTATAAAGGTGTTCTCAGTGTCATAACATTCGATTTTCCAACTCGTGCCAAATGCATACGTTACCTTGAATTCTAATATCAGACCCCGATACTAAATGGTTCCCCGGGCAATGAGCTGTTGATAATATAGGGGTGAGGCAGTAGTTGCCAAACAATACGAGAGCTCTACTAAACAACTACAGACATCCATGTTCAATAATATCAAGAGGTTGATGCTCAACGGTTTTGCAAGAAATGTACAAAACAAGTGGTACTGTACCTAATGCTAGTACATTTAGCTCAGATGTTCGTGATGGACCCTCCAGGGGACCAAACCACAAGTAACTATACTTAATATATGATAGTATTGAAGTGAAGGAGGACATGGTACAGATCATAATTCACATTGTTACAATATTCAAATTCAAATTCAAATGTTTATTCAGGTAAAGTACAAACATACAAGGTGAGATGCAAACATTGAGGGATTTATAGAGCTAGTACATACAATGCCTAAAGCCACTATTACGCAAAGCGCTTCGGTATACATTACTAGGTAAATTTCCTTAAAAATGGGTGATGACTCACTGTGAATACTGACACCAGGGTGTTCAGAAACTTTGAACTTCAATTTATATCTGATCGCCTATGTAATTTTTATTAGTACAGTATTTTGGGTATTGCCCCTACTAGTGACTATTATTTCCTATGCAATTCTCATACAATATATATCATTAGTATTTTTGCATAATGGGGTTTTGCTGGAAACTTCATTTTGCAAGAATACACTTTGGAATTGTTGGTTTAGGATTTTCACATTTACTTTCCATTCTTTGTGAATTTGTTTCCCATTATATTCTTTGGATTTTATATTTGACATGTAATTTGCTTTAGAGTTTATAGCATAGTTTGAGTTCCGTTTTAAATTTTTTGCTATCCCCTTTTTTTTAAGTTTCTTTCTGCCTCTTATTGCTGTGTAGTTACTTGCTTATGTGTTGCTGGAATGTTTCTGGGTTAGGTCTCTTCCTATATTAATTCCATTTTTTTTTTTAATTTTTTTTAATTTACTCTCTGACCCTCTGTTAATATTTTTAAGAGAGAGCCAGAGAGTCTTTTCTAGTATTCCATCTCTGTTTCGGTGTAAATATTTAGGTGCATTCATGGTATATCTAAATTGTGTTTATTAAATGTGTGTGTGTGTTTGTGTGCTTAACTAAGTGTAGTTAAGACAAGACCTGTGCTCGTGGTGTCCCGTCTTATAATCTTTGTCATACTGTCTTTTGAAGCTTTCCATAATCTTAACATACACTACTCTCATTTATATTATTGCATCCATCTAGGGACTGCTTTCTCTGCCACTTCATTCAACCCGTCCTCTTAAAAATAACGTCACTTTTCGCTCGTATGTGCACTATGGCCAAATTTGGACGTAATTTGAAATGAAATCCACTCACAAAAGTGACGTACTGTTCCGTTTTCTGTTTGAGTCGTCCGACTTACTCGGGAAGCTTAGAAAAGGATTCTTTCTAATAACGTTTTTCATACTGTTTTGAAACTTTATGAGAATTTCCTGCCCACCTAACCTATCAGAGGACCCTTAACTTACTGTTGTTGAAAAAAAAAATCCCAAATTTATTTTCAATTTTTTTTTATTTTCAAATTACGTCCATATTCGGCCATACGGGCAAACGGCCAAAAGCGACGTTCTTTTTAAGAGGACAGGTTGCTTCATTACCTATATGAAGGCATCCCCCAAGGCAGTATTTCAAGCACTGGTTGCCCTTTACCTTTACCAAATGTTAAATGGGCCATATCTTGTCCTACTGTGCAAGTCAAAGATAATTTAGAGTACCGCAGAATATTTAAAATTCCCCTGCGTACATGGGGCTCACGTTTTCTTCTTCAGGCCTCCAGTAAACAGGTGCCATCTTGGGGAAAAAAAAAAGTGGTCACCCTTCCTGGTATGAGGGCTTTGTTATTGAGAGGGTGACCATGGGTAGCACTTGCTGCAGCACCTCATAACACTGCTGTGCAGCTTGTGCCTACAGTGTCACTTGATTTGACTGAAATAAATAACTGTGATTATTTTACATTGATAAATGTTGTAGAAAATACTGATTGTGATACTCTGCTGGGGTTAACTGTCTCTTTGAGTTAACTAACTTAAGTTCTCTACTACGAGAACTTGTGCTGTGACTTGCTAAGAAAGATATCCACTGATTGCACTCCACTTACAGAAGTCAATAATTATGAAGATCATGTGAAACTGTTTCTTAATCTTCGATACCATTCTGCCTTGGACATCACATGTCTATTGCCTGTGAACTTTATGCTCAAAGGCCATACCATATTCAAGTCTCATCACACACCTCCTGGGGGGTGAATAGATTAACACTCCCATTTATATGCTCCTTTGTTGCTGTCATCGAAACTTGACTACAGATCATGTCTCAAGAGCCTTTTGTTCTTCCCCAATCCAGAGCTTATATGTAGAAAGTGGTGTTTTGTTGCTATAAGACCACAGTGATCAGTATTATTTTCAATACCCTACAAAGCTTCCATTCATGCTTGTACCATCACCCCAATTGAAAACCTCGTTTACTTTACGGCCTTTTCCTAAAGGATTGCCACCTTGCAGGTTTGTTTACATCTAGAAAGTGTTCCCCTCATATTGTGCCTACCTTACCCCCATGGAGAATTCTGCTTCTTAAATTTTATAAAGCCCTGATCTATATTGTGTAGGCTTATACTTTCCCTACTGTTCTGAAAAGCCTTTTCCTAAAATATTTTTACTGCTATTCACATGCTAGTGCTCATTTTGTGGATGGGTTGCAATCTGCTGGTGGCATTGTCTTCTGTCATTTTTCTGGTAAAAATCTTTATGCTGCCTTTCCTTCAGAAGAGTAGTATTACTACAGAGTTTTGTTATTTTAAATACACTTTCACTTCTTATCCTGTAGAATAGCAAAGAAAAGCAAAGGTGTGGGTTGTTAGACACTTCATTTGAGCTGTGCCATGCTAGACACTTCATTTGAGCTATGCCAGAAACAAATTTATTCACTATATATGTGTCCAGGTTACATTATAGGCCTGTATATAGTACTTAAGACTTAAACTGCCCAATACATCTATAGCTCGGGTGAGTAACTGTTGCGGAAGTACGCACCACAGCTATGATTAGTTGGGAGTATTATGTAAGATTTAAAAGTCCCGCGGCTACACGGGGTTCACATCGTCTTCCTGAGGGTTCTTATAAATAGATGTTTTTTTTTTTTAATTGTGGGCAATATAACCAGGTGTGAGAGCCTCAGTACTGAGTGAGCAACCAAGGCTGATGTACACAGCATGAACTAACAGCACTGCTGTTTAGCTCGTGACCACAGCATTGCCCAAAACTTTCAAAATATATATGTAACTGGTATTATTTAGTGATGATAGTATTACAGAAGAAAAATTCCCCCCTGACTGATAAAAATGACCAGGATTCTGATAATAGCAGGATTGTTGTGATAATTAGCACTGTGCATAGTATGGTGGGATGAGTAATACTGAGGGAGGGAGGGAGGTAGCATCGTCTGCTAACACTGTGTGACCACCTGTTATTGTCTAGAATCACCATATCAGCTTAGTGGTTGGCTATGGTGAACACAGTTGTAAATACTTATATATAACATGAGTATATAGTGTAATAACAGCAAAAGGAGTACGCTGTATGTTGGGAGGATCCATTTTAGTAAAGGAGGTGGTGGCATCTGCATAACTTGTCATGAAGTGTATGGTGGCCACTATGCTTTTTGGGCACCATATCAGCTTAGTTGAACAGTTCTGGTGAATAAAACATGTAGATACTTGCATATAATGTGAGTATACAGTGTAATAACACCACAAACAGTATGTTGGAGGAATGTTAGTGCATTTGGCCTTGAAAGAGCGAGGGAGGGAGGCAGCTTCAGCTGACTGTGGTGCGACCTCTGTTACTGTCTGCACTCACCATACCAGCTTAGTTGTACAGTTATGGTGAACAAAACATGTACCCGTAGATACTTATAACATCTGTATATAGTGAATAAAAGCAAAAACTGTTTGGTGGAATAGGAATGGTGGTGAGTAAGCTGTTGAAGGAGGAAAGACGGTGGCATTGGCTGGCTGGTGTGTGGCAGCCACTCCTCGTTGTTTTAGCTCGCCATACCAACTTAGTGGTTTGTTATGGTGAACAAAACATGCAGATACTTATACATAACCTGTGTATATAGCATAATAACAGCAAAACTATTTATTTATTGTTATATGAACATCATAATTGAATCACTAATAAGCACACCATAATTTTGAGTATAGCGATGATTCACACATTTTATTATATAAATATATCGCACTACACACTATTAAATATTACTGCAAAAAAACAAAGAACAAATCAGAGACATTGATGAAATAATTAGGTTAGGATATCTTTGTGGCAACTCCCACCTGACAGTTCGGGAGGAGCTGACTGCCTCTGACAATTGTTCTGTTAACGCCTCAATTTTTCCAGTCTTCCTCACACTATTGCAGCCAAAATGTCGCCTACGATTTTTTTTTTTTTACTTTTTACGTGGTCAGGGAACACAAATAAACACTTCTAAGAGGATTTTTTATTTCTTGCACCTGGGCGTATTGCAGGCTGTAATCACGAGCAGCCCAGGGGTCAATGGTCCATTTGTAATTTTTGTGTACTGTATATGAATTGAATTATTCCACACATTGTGAAAACTAAAGCGAATATGTATGAACCATTTAACTTTATTACACACAAAAATCACAATAACGTGATGCATCAATGAACAAATCCATAAGGGCCGTGATGAGGATTCGAACCTACGTCCGAGATCATCCCAGACGTAGGTTCGAATCCCTTGTGGATTCGAACCACGAATTCACGTGGTTTGTTTGACGGCCCTTGTAGATTTGTTCATTTGACTTTAACATCACAACCCTCTCACCCCTATATGACGAATTGGCAAAATTGCATCTCCACGATCTCTGTAGCTCCTTCACCCAGCTTCCTCCTCATGTGCATGAAACTGAAAATCGACAGTCATATTTGCTGTGCCTTTTCTTTGGGATGGTCACCTTAATCCAGCGATCAACATATGACAATAACCCACTCTTTAAAAGAGTTAATAAATTTTATTACTAAAATTAATAATACTTTTGCAAACAGGCTCCTCCACAAGTGGACAACTGGGAGTGACCGACCAGCATCTGGCAGTCTTGTGCAGCTCATCACCAAGGATAACAAGACAGACTTGGTTGTGGCTTAAGTCTTTGTCACATAATGGGACGAGGAATTTTGTTAATGTTTTAGATTGTTTTTTGTTACTGCAAATGTTTCCAGGGTTTAGTTTTTAATAGTTGTATTTAGTTTTTAAAGTTGCGACAGTCTGGTTTTTAAGTGCTTAAAATATTTTGGCAATTAGCTTTTGTTCTCTATTGTGCAAGTGCTGATGCTTGCTGCTTAAATAATACAGTATAGTAAATATTCATATTGTATTGGCAAATATTTTCAGTGCAACATACAGGATGAAAGTGTGCAATGATGGTCTAGTTAAGGTGATAAGTCCTGTATGTAATTGCCTAGCTTCAGAGTAACAGATTACTATATTTTTATACCATATTTTGACTAAACAAGAAGACGGTAAACCAATGAAAGTGCTTCCTAGATCAACAAAAAGTTAAAAATGCTTTATTCACTGTACAGTATACTAGTATTGATCTTTAAGAGCAAAATAAAAATGACAAATGGTATCACTTTTTTAGTAGTAAGTGTAACCCACTAGTAGTAAGTGGTAAGTAGCAACCCACTGGCATTTTTAATATTCATGGATGTTATTTCTAAACATAAAGGATACTTAGCACTGCAGTAATTGCATTTCTTGTCATTTTTCACCAGAATTAACCTTCCTGGCTTGGTGCCTTATTTTGATAATTACTTACCAGAATAAAAAGTGCAGTCATATTTCCAGCAATGAAAGAAATGGACAGTAATCTATTTCCCTAATAATGCAAGAAATCAATGGAATATTTACTCTATTTGTGCAATTATACAAGTTATTTGTATATAAAGTTTTGTTATGAAATTATTTGTTAATGCCTTGTATTTTTAGGCGGCGTGGCATCCATTACAATTTATGCATCTAGTGCAATGTTTTTTTAACATTGTATACTAGTTTGAATTGTAAAAACTTGGGTGTGTTACTCTGTGTGCTTCCCTATACACATCTGGGTTTTTCACATTTCCTGTTAGTGTACTTTAGAATATTAAATCTGAAATGTTATGTACCAAGGACCCAAAAAGTCTATGCAACACCATCCAAGATAGCTTCAAAACATTATATACAGTATACCTGCTTACGAGTAAAAACTAATTTGTATTCAGCACAGCTTTACATTCCAAATATCTAAATTGTTACCGAAATATAATTTAAAAATATAATTGTTTGTTTCATGAATCCACGAAATCAAGTCGGCTTGCTATTATACAGAAAATATATTGTGTGCAATTTGTTTTAATTTCTTAAAACAGATGTTGATAAAGCAGTGTTATCTGCTTCCACTTTTCCTCGATTTCCCTTCACTGACACGGCCTAGCAAGGATGAGGGGAGGTTATGCATACCACTCCTGGACAGTTGAGTGTGGCTTCCTGTAGCAAATGCCTTCCTCTATCTAGATTTAGTTTGGGAAACCTTAAAATCTGCAGAGGAAAAGTGTATTCAGGCCATGATATGGTACCTGTAGAAGAGTCTAACTCGTACTAGGATGGGGGATAAGAAAATGCTTCCATCTGGAACAATAAGTATTCACCTTGACTTGACTAACAGTGCAGATCTCCTGGGGCCATCAGGTACTAAATGACCAGACCAGTACACAAACAGGTAGGCGTGCCAGATGCTAGGGAAGCACTCTGCAAATTATACACCTTATCCTAACCTATTTACCATATACGGGAAGCCAAAGGAATGGAAGAATGACTGACCCTAAGTGAAAACTGTGACTGAAAAAGTGCAAGGCACCAAAATATGCAAATTAGAGCTATCAACAAGTCTTACAGACATGCGTTATCCAGAAGAGACAACAACGACTCAAAAAGAGCATATCTGTAAAGGAGGAACCTGACCCCTTCAGAGACTATGATTGAGCAAGACAAACACAAGCCGGACGTCTGGGAAGGTAACCTTGGCTCACAGCCGGAGGAAAATACAAGTGAGGCTAGCCGCCTTAGCAGCAGCATCATCTTGCTCATTTAAGGCAATACTGTACCAATATTGCTGGAAACCCAGCAAACTTTCACTAGGAGGCATAGAAGCCTGACTTGAAAGGGAAAGCAAAACTTTACAAGTTACATCTTTCACAGGGACAAGAATGGAACATAAGGAGAGATTGCAAGTATGAACCAAGAGGGAAGTGTAATTGAGATATCCGTACAGAAAAAGGAAACAGGGCCCACAGGAGAGTTAACAGTGAAAACACGGCACAAGTGAGTGTGAGGATGTTGCAAGGCAGTGAAGACTAACAATCAAGACTATTCTGTACAGACGGGACACCAATTTCAACATACTGTACAAGTTTTGGGTACGGGATGGATGAAAGGTACCAAGAGCTGAGGCATAACCCAGTATGGTGCAGAGCATCAAGATTGCAAAAGGGTTGAAGGAAGAGGCAGAGGAGTAAGCAGTCATCAATAGCAGTGCAGATAGCACAATAGTGCAATTAGTGCATCTAAGCTCGCCACAAAGTACTGTATGAGCTTGGTCACCCGAAGCCCGCTGAACCGAATACATATTTGGGTTATCTGGCCAAAATCGGGTTCAGATAATTTTCTGGAAAACTTCGCCATTTCTGAACAGAAATTAAGATAACTGGAGATTAGGTTACAAAATTTTCAAGAACTACACATTCCAAGACCTACAGTATCACACAAGACAAACTACAACAAAGTAAGCGGCAGTTTCTCTTTTAAATTATACTTTTGATTTATAGTGTGTGTGTGTGGAAATAAGAATTATGGTGGTTATAGTACAAAATATTGCAAATATAGTATAGTCGTTTTTTAACTTCCCCGGTAAGAATTCTGCTTTCCAAATGTCTGATTTATCTGGCAGGGGGTCCTTCCCATATAATTAGGTAAAGGCCTTAGAGTATTCAACTTGGAGGCGGGGTATATGGGGCAACCAAGACAAATGAGTGTCAAAGATCATCCCCGAAAGTTTAGCAGAATCTTCATATAGGGGGATTACCATAAAGGGATGACAAAATATGACCTGCTTTTGAGTACAGTCATAGTACATCAGAGAACTTGAAGCTATGAATGGTGGTCCAGGATTACATGGCTCCAATTGCAAGTTGGTGTTGGAGAAAAGGGGAAGTCATCACCCCAACAGCAGAAATATAATCAACAAAGAGCCGAGTAAATGCTAGAGAGACCATTTAGGGCAACTAAGAGTAGTGCTCAGAACACTACCTTGGGAAACGCCTTCATATTGAGTCGGAGAAAGTAGTAACAAATCTCACTTTAAACGAATGACTGGTGAAGAAACTTGGAGGAGCAGATTTCCCTGAATGCAAAAAGAATGTACAGTAGTTTGAATTAAATATTGATTCTCTTAGTGGTGTCAAGCATTTTTCTGGTAAAAAAGAAAGACAACAAAGGATGTCTGCAAACCTCCAAGTCCACTAAGATATCAGTTATGCTATGACACTTACGAAAGCCAAATTGAGAGGAAGAGAAGTAGCAATGTGTTCTAAGACTCACATTAGACATATTGACCATATTTTAAAAAGGTTTGCAAACACAGCAGTGGGGCAAAAAATCCTCAAGGTAAGTCTCGTGAGTATCAGCTTCAACAGCGCAGCCGATGCCAGCGCCCCAGACGAAGACTCGGCACTCAACACCTCCACATCCTTCCCAAGCCAATCCAAGGACATCACGAGAAGGGAAAAGAAGCAAAATACGGGGAAGAACCGTATTCAAACGAGGGCAGATCCATCACAGAGGCACAATCCAGGTATCACAGGAAATAAGTCGCAAGAGCCTCCAGAACATCCTTTGGTGGGAAGCGAGTGGCAGAAAACTTCCAGAAAGGAGGAGCCAAGGAACCCATAACCGAACCCGGGGAGGAGCCAACCCCAAATCAAACTCATACAGGGAAGGTAACAATCCCTGTTACAGCTCCCTGTAACAAACCCAAGCAGGATCAAAGGGAGTCCAAGTTCCCCAGGGCGACTCCTCCCCAGCCCTGGGAGCCTTCAAGCCAGGCCCCAGGGCTGAGGAAAGGCAGCAAAGAAGGGGGTCTGCCAGTAGGACCTAGAAGCCTCGGCATGTGGATCAGGCTCGAATGTGGCAGCCCCCGAAGTCGCCAGTCTCATCACCAACTAAACCTTGCCCCAACTCCGATACAATCAGGTGTTTGGGAGCTGGTAGCAGGGAGAACCACACCCACTGGGGAAAGACCCGAAGGTGCGGATGGAACCAAGGTTGAAGCGACCAACGCCCCCAGGTCTGGGTCCCTAAAACTAAATCAGGACAGCCCAGGGGCATCCGAGCGGGCAGCCAACCAACCTAGCCCATTGCAACCACCAAAACCACCGCTGCCTTTAATGACGTTTGCTCGTTTCCTTGCGGAGGAACACTATTATGATTTTCTCTTGTGGAAACAATGCACTAAAATGTGGTGTATGTATAAATACATAACCATTTACAAATATTTTGATTTGACTGAATTCCAAAACCTGTTCTTTTAATTATTTTTTATACCAGAATCTGCACTTGTAGTGGTACCAGACTCCTCTGCCAGCAGCTAAAATGGTATGAGAAGTCCTGCTAGTCAAAACTATCATTTGGTGTACAACACAATATTGTGTGGAATTATTTTTTCCTACTCATTTCCTTCCAATTTGGACTAAATTCTTTCTGTAAAATATAAAATAAATTTATGTGCTAACAAATGCATCATTATTTTTTATAATATATATATATTATATATTTATTTAATAAAATATATTTATACATTTAATATATATTACTTACACACACACAGAGAGGGGGCCTCGTAGCCTGGTGGATTGCATGCAGGAGTTGTAATTCTGTGGCGCGGGTTCGATTCCCGCACGAGGCAGAAGCAAACGGGCAAAGTGTCTTTCACCCTGAATGCCCCTGTTACCTAGCAGTAAATAGGTACCTGGGAGTTAGTCAGCTGTCACGGGCTGCTTCCTGGGGTGTGGTGTGTGGAGAAAAAAAAAAAAAAGTTGATTGACAGTTGAGAGGCGGGCCGAAAGAGTAAAGCTCGACCCCTGCAAACACAACTAGGTGAACACACACACAAAAAAAATCACCATCATCTTTCACTGTAATCATGTTGAACATTAATGGAGCTTGGGGAGTAGAACTCCTCCTGAAACCCTCTCCAGGTATTGATGAATGGACAATGTCGGGGAATATGCTGGTAAGAGGAATATATGAAGGAGAAGTGTATGATAATTGTACATAAAGCTTCAAGAAAACATGTCACCCCCTGCTGAGCACTGGTATAACACCAGTGTTTCCCCATTAGCATATAATTGAAACACACATTATCTATGAACTTGTCAGTAATTGCAACTTTTGATGCCTGTTCCTTCCATTACCCCTACTTCCAACATGGGGCAGCTTCCTGTACGTTACCCAGCCCCAAACACACATTTCTAATGCTTCCATGTCTTGAATACTTTAGAAAGAATGCTTGACTGTGAAAAAATGCAAATTTCCTCGATAAGCATAAGCAACAGAAAAGCTGGAGTGGAAACATGAAAGGGGAAAACAATCTAGTTTGAGACAATAGTATTCATTCAAGGACAATATGGAGGAAAAAGGAGCAGACTGCCCAGTGGCAGATTCTAGGCATAGCATTAAATAAAACTAGTAGTAAAAAAAACAAAAATTTAGTACTGCACTACACTACACTACACATGAACATTAAATATTGGACACAAACTACTGATATTAAACTGTAAAATATCTAGTGCTACAAGAATGATTAAGACATTAGTGAAAGATTCAAGCATGCTCTAAATCTTGATGGGTTCTGTTTTTAAACTACTCTTTCAACCAGAAGATCCAATCCTGATCTGTGATACTTTTTTTTATCTTTAAAGTTCTGGCAACTTTTCTAGGAAGACAGTAGAGTATTTGATCATTTTTTTATAATTTATAATGAGCAAGTTTCTATCACACTGCATCCCATTTTCATTGGGAATACTGTACATTGCAATTCTAGTGTGCGTTCTCTCCTTTACCCCTATGTTAGTAATCTCAGGTGTTTGAAACATCCAAAAAATGTTTGGGTGTTTCAGCAACAATGATATTCTTGATTTGTCTAGTACCACACACACTAACAAAGAACAAAATCTAGGGGTATTCTGGATAGTAGAATGTCACCAGAGGAACACATAAAGGACACCGTGTGTGTGGAGCATATGCTACACTTTCCAACTTCATAATAGCTTTTAATTACATAGATGATAAAATACTAAAGAAAATGTTCATGACTTTTGTGAGACCAAAACTGGAATATGCAGCAGTTGTATGGTGCCCAAATCTCAAGAAGCACATTAATAAACTGGAAAAGGTGCAATGGCATGCTACAATATGGCTTCTGGAACTGAAAAACGAGTTATGAGGATATTAGAGGCGTTAAATATGCCAAAGTTAGATCACCACTTACAAAATAATAACAGGAATTGACCAAACTGACAAAGAGGAATTCTTGAAACTGGCAACCTTAAGAAAAAGAGGTTATAGATTCAAGATAAGGAAACAGGTGCCAAAAAAATATTAGAATGATTTCTTTTGCAAACGATGGTAGACGGTTGGAGCAAGTTAAGTGAGGTGGTGGTGGAGGCCAAAACTGTCAGCGTTATATTAAAGAATACTGGGAAGACGGGACACCACAAGCATAGCTCACATACACACACAAATTCAGAGCAGTGGGGGCTCATGGCAACATTGAATGGAGGGACTGTGTCACTATTGTACAGCAAGAAACCTCTAGTTTTGTCTCGTATTTAATGAATGTTCAGAATTCGGTCATAAATAAATTGAAAATAACATGACACTGTGTTATGAAACCTTCGTTAATTGCTGATTATTCTAGTGTAAGGTTGATGGAGTCATACACTTGGCAGCAAGTGTGGGGAAGCTGTGGCTAGCAGCTCCTATAACAAACTGCCACTCATTCAGAGGTTGAAAATGGGAACGAGATTCACAAAGAACGAAAAGAAAATGTGTGAAAACTAAACGAACAGTTCCAAAGTGTTTTTGTACAGAATGAAATTTTCAGACAACCAGACACAATAAGATAGCCACTATGATTTCTATGATAGCCACAAATTTTACAGTAAGGAGATGGATGGTTTCAATGCATTTATTTGGATCTAAAAAAAAAATCTTGGTCTCGCTTCATGCAGGTCGCCGTTCAATCCACGACTGTCCAAGTGGTTGGGTATCATTCCTTCCTCCGTCCCATCTCAAATCCTTATACTGACTCCCTTCCCTGTTATGTAGTTGTAATAGCTTGGCACTTTCCCCTGATAGTTCCCTCACATAAGAGTTTGTTCTGTAAAGTGGAGCATACTGGAGGAGTGACAGGGAGGCTTCTAAAATGAATGAAAAATTTTCAGACAGAAAAATGAGGACAGTAATGTCAATGTATCAGATTAGAGATATGTCACGAGTGGAGTACCACCAGGGTTCAGTTCTTGCACTGGTAATGTTCACTGTCTACATAAACGATCTACCAGAAAAAGGACAGAATTATATGAACATGTTTGCTAATGATGCTAAGATACTAGAGAAAAAAAGAAACTTAGATGATTGTCATGTTCTTTGAGATGACCTGGAATTTTATGTGATGTGAATAAATGCCACATTATGGATTGTGAAATAGGAGAAAATAGACCCCACACAACCTACAAATTATGTGAAAAAGCTTTAAAGAATTCTGATGAAGAAAGTGATCTAGCGGTGCTTCTAAATAGAAAATTATGACCCGAGGACCACATAAAGAGCATCGTGCGAGAAGCCAATGTTATGCTTTCCAATTTCAGTTACTCGGTACTTTTAAATACAATACTGTACACACATGGCATAATACTAAAGAAATTGTTCATGACCTTTCTGAGACCAAAGTTGGAATATGCAGTGGTTGTATGGTGCCCATATATTTAGACACACATCAACAAACTGGAAAAGGTGCAAAAACATGCAACTATATGGCTTCCGGAACTGTAAGACAAGAGCTACGAGTAGAGGTTAGAGGCATTAAATAGCCCAAAAGTAGAAGATAACGAGAATCAACAAAATTTATAAAGAATTCTAGAAATCTGGCATTTCAAGAATAAGGTCATAGATTTAAGCTAAATGAACGAAGCTGCCTAAAAAATATTTGAAAATTCATTTTTGCAGTGGTAGACAGTTGGAACACGTTAAGTGAGGTGGTAATGGAGGCCAAAACCGTCAGTAGTTTCAAAGAGTTATATAATAAAGAGGGTTGGGAAGATGGAATAATAGGAGTGTAGCTCTCATCTTGTAACTACACTTCGGTAATTACATACCAGAAAAACTTAATACAGACTCAAGATTTTGTTTGGGTGAGCAAACAGTCCAGAGACTAATGAAGTTTGGACACCCACAGGTACTAACACGGGGGTAAAGATTTATTTTGGTTTGCAGATTAAAAATATACTTCCAATGCTTTATATTTAAGGTTTAAACAAATTTACACTCCTAAGTGGGCATAGAATATGAAAATAGTTCTTCATAAACATTCTCTGGTAAAAATTATTGTACACAAATAAATACAGATACACATGCATAAACTATCAGGTACATTATCTACCAAGTCATGCAGCATGCTCAAGTTTACCTTTATATTAAGTTAACACAAAATTATATTTGTATGCCAAATAATAAAAGCCAGGTTCAAATACTGCAGCATATAATCATCCACAGATTCTAAGTTACCAAGTTTAACATTTGTATGCCAGACAAGGAAGACGTAGCATCAAACAAGTGTCTTCAGCAAACAAATTGCTACTTTTTACAACTTGGACAGATAATAAATGTTGAAAGTAAGAACAGTAAATATATCCTAATAGGAAACCATTGCTACAATGAGTTCAGATACCCTGTCCTTCCAGCACAACAAAATTGACAAACTTAACTAAACAAATTTGTTTTCAAGAACTGAGCAGGACAAGAAATAGCATTATTTGAGTGTGAACTGGGCTTATATCATATATACAGTAATACTATCACTAAAAACCTAAATTATATTGTCATAAAATCTGAGCAACATTGGGTAATGTGCAACTAAAATGTCAATAAAATGTTTAATTGCTAATGAGAAATATTGAACACACAAAAATATCATTCTTGTACAAAACATAATTACATGAACATTTTAAATCACTTGCAGTGAGACCAATTCAAACAATGTGTATATTGTACCTTTTATAAAATATTTAAATAGTTTCAATAGTGGGGATAGAGAATAAATGTCATCTTTGCTTTTAAAAATTGCTGTCAATATATATATATATTTATTTTGTATTGTAACTTCTAGTAATAAAAATACAGTACTTGAAGAACAAGAAAAATACAAAATGTACAGTGTATCTTTTCTTTGTTTGGCCTAGAGTGAAGCAAGTTGCACTTGCAGTATTATACAGAGGGGTCGATGGTCATTACCATGATTTCGATACATGCGCACACAGCAGCAATCACTCCACCTGCTTTGAACTAGTACAGCTCTACCCCTTTATATATCATATACTCACATCTTTTGTTTACAAATTAAAACCTTAATTACTCAGGAACCAGTATCATCGTTACAAAATGCATACAACAATGGTACAATGAATATAAAGGAAACCCATTCAATTATGGGGACTTGTAAAATACATTACCATACAAAATATAAAATGCTAACCTAAGAATAAATATTATCTTGGACTGTGATTTACATTATTGCTACTAATACTATTTTCTGACATTTCTTTGGCAGTACACAACATACTTGATCTGCTAGAGAAATCTACATTCACATAATATGGAGATGTTTTTTGACTGTGAACTTCCCTACCTAAATATGCTTTATTCTCAGATCTCCAGTCCTGTAAACTAATTGAGTTTCTTCCCAATCTTCCTGTTAACCAGGCAGGAGAGTTTCTGCAACCTTCTGAATTCAATTTCCCATATAACCCAGAAACTGATGTGTTAAATTCCTCCTCTATATGGTTCTGATCATGCTTTATGGGACTTCTCATGTCTAAAGGATTCCTGTTGATTTCTTCAGTAAAATTTTGAACAAAGGAAGTTTCAGGGATGTTGGGAGACAACACGAGGGAAGGTGAACTGTATGTTCCTTGTCCCTGAGCTACTGAAGGGGAATATGGAGTGAATGGAAGGGATGGATAAATTGCCTGAGCTTGCAAAGAGGAGCTACCTCCAGGAGTTTTATTAGGTGCATAAACTTGGGGGTAAGTAACATTGACATAGTGCGGCGAGTGTGTAGGCGAAGTGGCTAAAGTTCGTGCTGAGTCGTTCAAAAGCTGCAGAGTGGTTGAACTACGTGTCCAGTCATCCTTGAAGACCTGGAAAAGCCATCAACTTAAAAATCATCCTTTGTAAGACACTACAGGGAAAAGAATAGTTCCGTAACTGGATCTTTAAGTCCAATAATGAAATGCAAGAAGTTTGCAGGAAAAATTATAACTTTTTATCTATGCGCATGACTCACAGAAATATTCTAACTCAAATTTATACATTTTTATTTCCTAGTACAAAAAGGCAGATATATTTTAGTCTGTAAAATAGACATACAAATTTTGAACTCGCATCGAAATGTTTCCACCATTGCAAACAAGATGAAGTCTGACCATTTCACTGAGTTATGTAGCCCCCTGATGACAGACTTTAAAAACATTTTAATGCATTGTTAGGGCAGCCTGGGGGAGACTTAGCAAAATTTTGAAATCAGTTAATTATATCTTCTAAAAATTGTACACACACACGACCTGATACCACATAGCCAGGACATGGTCTTCAAAGGTCTCTAACCTTTCCACCATGTGAAACTACAGTTGAAGTATAAGAAAGTGGTGTATGTATGACCCTCACTGACTCCAGTCCAGGAAAAATACATCCACTATGAAAATTTTGTGTTTCAGAAATGGCATCACATAGGCTGGAAACTGTTGATTTCAAGTTGTGGCAAACAGGTCAACTTCATTGAAAACATTCGACACATTCTGAATTCAAGTTGCACTGATGACAGTCTGAAGAAGCCAGAAGCGAGACTATCCTCAGTGTCCATACCCACAGAGGAAGTGAATGTATACTACCATCACTGTTATTGCAATGGACACCTAAAGCACAATCCACATGTAGATGGAATGCAGAGCCCCACAAAAGATTGACGGGCTTGAGTGTCATCTATACTGCTACAAACTCATGTACTGTCACAGAAAACATACCATAGAAAAAGAGGCCATAACCTAGTCCACTCAAAGGGTCACAAGGAGCAGGGGATACTAGATCACTCAAACCAAGAGGGAAAAGCCACCAGAAAGGAAGAGCAAACCTTAATAGACAACAGCAAAGAAAATGTCATCACCCCCTGACAATTATGAACACAGTACATGTCACTACCCCTGCTAGTTGTGCCCCATCCCACCAGGTGGCAGCTCTGGGAGCTTGAGGTCCGCCAAGGGACAACTGATCAGCCATTCACCCGCCGTGGGACCTGTCCACTACTGCTCATGTCATTGCCACCTTCCAAGTCCTGCTTTTTCAAGACAAGTGTTGGCTATCCTTTGGACTTTGTCCTTCAGGAGTTTGTATACTTTGAGAGCTTGTGCTTGTGTTATCTTCTTGAGGTTATCTCGAGATGATTTTGGGGCTTTTTAGTGTCCCCGCGGCCCGATCCTCGACCAGGCCTCCAACCCCAGGAAGCAGCCCATGACAGCTGACTAACACCCAGGTACCTATTTTACTGCAAGGTAACAGGGGCATAGGGTGAAAGAAACTCTGCCCATTGTTTCTCGCCGGTGCCTGGGATCGAACCCGGGAACACAGGATCACAGGTCCAGTGTGCTGTCCGCTCGGCCGACCGGCTCCCCCGGTGTTTGTTCCATTTTTGGTGCTAAGTTCATGTGCATCCTTTTTAAGCCTCACTATTGAATGGATTTGTTTGCCTTGAGCTACAAGTACTTATGGTTGCCTTCCCTAGGCACTTGGTGGTACTGATCCTGCTTGACCAAAGTTGTTTACCCAAGAGGAGGGGGGAGGGTTAGGTGTCTCTTCCTTAAAGGCATTTCTCCTCTTGAAGGGTCCGCCTGGGTAGCACAAGGTTTTTTTTTGGAAGGCTCTGGGGTTGGGGCAGACGAGGTTCTTTTGTTTGGGGGACACACAGTATGTACACGTGCTCGGCTTGTGGCACACTGCCTATTTGTGGCATACTGCCACACTCCTCGGCTACATTTTTTTTTTTTTTTTTTTTTTTGAGATATATACAAGAGTTGTTACATTCTTGTACAGCCACTAGTACGCATAGCGTTTCGGGCAAGTCCTTAATCCTACGGTCCCTGGAATACGATCCCCTGCCGCGAAGAATCGTTTTTTCATCCAAGTACACATTTTACTGTTGCGTTAAACAGAGGCTACAGTTAAGGAATTGCGCCCAGTAAATCCTCCCCGGCCAGGATACGAACCCATGACATAGCGCTCGCGGAACGCCAGGCGAGTGTCTTACCACTACACCACGGAGACTGCAAGGAGAGTTCTTCCTATGTTGCATTCAGTGTTTGCTGAAAAGCATTCATCACATATGGTGATACTTTTTCAGCTTGCTCGTGCTAAAACTAGAAAGCCCCTTGGGTCTCTGGTGTAGTTTGGCTATGAACCTACCCACCCAGCCTACTCACATTGTTTGTGCTTTTTCTGGGGTGTTTACAGTTTATCATATTTGCTGCTTATCATCACTTCCTTCACTGGGCTGCCTCTGGGTTTTGTTTGCATTCCCTTGCTTTGGTCACTTTTCCGTAAGTCGTAACTTGTTTTGGTTTGAGCCGTACCCCATGTAGAGGTCGAATCTGGACCTGTGAGGAGTTACATACATTGTGAACTATGCACTGGCTCTATGTATCCTTGCTGGTTGGCCAGTTTTTTTTTTGGCAGCTTTGATATCCCTCCAAGAATTGATGGGCCTTAAGCCCAACACAACCCTTCCCTAACCAGACCTTTGTTCATGAGGTGTAGACAACCTCTTTCATACCGACGAAGCTTCCGCTTGTAGGTGGGGTTTCGCAGTGTCAGAATGGCTTGGATGCCCCCGAGTTGGTGCCTGTGTTGTTGGTTGGTGTTTTGAAATGTAGAGGGGTTTCTTTTTCCTTTGTTACATTTAAACTTGTTTCTTAATCTTGTTTAACTTTGGTACTCTTACCCGTGTGTGTGTTTCTGGATACTGGCCGAAACCCTGGATTTGATCCATTTTGTGCAGGATTCCACTACAGGTTTGAAATGACAAAATCCTAGATAGCACTGGTGTCTGAGTTTTCTGGAAGAAAAGGGCAATAGGAGCATGTTTACAGTAGCCATGACCTGTGGTCACCCCATCTATACCTGTACATACATCAATGCCTAACCTCCATTAACTGGTTCAAAATTTCCATAGGCTGGAACACCAGAAAGCTCCTTTGGTACTTTGAAAGCCAGGCATCTGCTAACTGGGGGGCAATTACCAAGCATTCTCTCAAATGACATACAGTAAGACACTTGTGCACTTGTTATAGCTGGTAGTATTTCCTGCAAGTATGCGAGTCAAATTAATCTTCAGTGTCTTACAAGACTAGTCACTGTGTCTCTTAAGCTTCCACTCTACCCTGTATTGCCATTCAAGAAGTAAAAGGGTGTGAAAATCAATAAAGAGACTGTCCTTTTCTGCCCAGTCCTGGTGGACTGCCGAAATCGAGCACCTGCTAACGAGATGTGCAGTGAAGAAGTTTGAGAACAGTTTTATGAGACGGGTGCAAATATTTTTGACCGAGCCTCGTTTGCTGCTGCCATGGAAGAAAAAGCCAGTTTACTCATCACTTGGTAATATCTATTCCCAACATGGAGGACAGTTCTTGAGAATCCATGAACTTGTCGTAATGTGATGCTTCAGCAAAGGCAAAACCTGGAAAACACCTCCCAAGAAAGAATTGGGGGGAAAAAGCAAGGCCTGATTCAGGAAGTCAAAGTTCTCTCACCTCACTGAAGACAATACAGAGTGTGTAGTGGTGGAAAAAGATTGCGTAAGAGGATTGTGTTATGTTAGAGGTTATTAAGCAGTGCTCTATCTGTACTGTCTTGATTCATGTCAAATGGATAAGGTTGGCCATCTCCTCTATGATGACGATATGACCTATGATGACCTAGAAAAAAAACCAGCGTTGAATGTAATGAAACGCCATTTTCTGGGTGAGCCCCGGAGGCTCCCTGGAGCTTATCGGGCTAATGTATGTTATATTAGACCGGGACATTAGCTAAGGAGTTCAGACCTACCAGGGACCAGCGCCAGAACCTGGCCCCTTCAGAGAGGTTTCAGGGAGCAATGGCACTGGAAAACCCTCTTGTGGTTGGGGTTTTCCTTATCTGCCATCGACCGGGGTCAGGCACCCAGAAAGGTAGGCATGACAAAACAAACCCCACATGGTAAAAAACTAAAACAAAAAACCGAACAGAGAGGTAGAAACTCCCTACAATCCCAAGGAAACAAGCAAACATCACACTTTACTGCCGCGCCGATCGTCCGCGCAGCCCTCCCCGCCCCGAGAGGGGGAGGGGGGAGCCCCGGACCTACCACGCCGGCTGCCAAGCTTCAGTTCGGAAGCTAAGCTTCAACCAACGTGAAAAAAACGCCGACCGGTGGGAGGGAGGGTTGCCAGGGAGCCTCCGGGGCTCACCCAGAAAATGGCGTTTCATTACATTCAATGCTGGTTTTCTGTGGGAAGCCCCTACGGCTCCCTGGAGCTTCATACCCAAAGAGAAGGAAAAGAAAGGGCTGACCTGGGAGGCGGCCGCCACAAACTCCGCAAAGCGAAGCCGAGACAACAAGAAGCAACCTGCGACCAAGGCAACAAGAACGCACAGGAAGAAGGGGCGGCCAAGAACCTGTGCGACCCTCAATTCCCTGCGCCCGAAATGAGCCCTAGACGTCACCAACACAGAAGCAAAAGCTGCAAATGTCCGAACAGCCCAGGCGCAAAGACAGACCGCAGGCTGGAAGACTGAAAAACTCTGCGGACGACCTGGGAGACCCGAGCCCTGAAACAGGGAACGAGGGGAACCGGATCAAACCAAAGTGCATCCCCAGACACGGTACGCAGGTAACTGCAAAAAGCGCAACCGGACAACACAGGACGCACCCCCGGCCAAACCAATCAAGCATCAATAACCCAAGAACCCCTCCGGAAACCAGCCGTCTCGACCGTCGCCAGGACGGAGAAAGGCTGCACACGTACAAATCTACCGCCAGTACCAAGGAGCAGAAACCTGAACCGAAGGGGCTACCACAAACTGAGGAGAAGAAGAAGGCACCCTGATCAAGGAC